CTGTACTCCTCGTCTTCATCATTGCATTCAGGTGACAAGTCCACCGTGCACCACGCCGTCTACGGCGGCATCAGAGACATCACATGCAAGTACCGAGGCGCGAACACGAGAAGCCTCAAGCGCCGCTGTGGACCGTAGCTCTTCCCCATCAATCGTCCAAACTCGGTCTCCACGTCGAACACACCTTGCACGAGTGGCGCAGTGGCAACCACATCCCAAGAAGAGAAAATCGTCTAAGTCCACCCAATGAGGAAACAGCTTGCTTACTAAGTGTTTAGAAAAAAAAATCGTCCCGGGCGTTTGTCAATCGAAATAAACCTTGAATGACCATTGATCAATCGGAACTTGTCTTGTCCATCTGCTTCTACCCACCAAGTTGTCTCATTGCTTCGCTGACTCGTCTTATGGCGCTGCCATTTGACATACCAATCAGAGCCATGTAGCCCTAGAGAGTCAAAGCCAAATAAGTTTCGTATGGAAAAGAAATGGGATTTATTTCAAAATAAATGATTTTCTGGTCTTTGGGCTGCTATGGCATCCACAGGAAGCGTATGAACACAAGAGCACCCTCGTTTGATCCGCAAAAATTTAGCGCTTCTGCTGTGCTTGATTTGAAACGCACAGCAGACAGAATCGCCGAGCACGACCCGAAATACTGACTGCCAATTAATCGCACCTGCCTCAATCCCAAGAGCAATATGTTGTTACAAAAAGGGAATACATATGTTACTTTCAAGGAGGTGACCGAACTATCCCGCTGAACAACATATTAAGGTACATTCGTGGATTTTTGAGCAATTGATGACATTGTCAGCAACAGGTGTTGAGCACAGATCGGCGACACTGCCTCAGGGCGCCCCTCCCCAGTGACTCAAAATTCTCTTGGTGAAACGGACGGACGGACGAACGGCCTTGCAGGCCAGCGCCAACAGTGGGGTGTGTGTCTGTGGGAGCGCATGGAGTACCAACGATTTGAAGTCTGATACATCGTCAATCGGATGACGTTGGGCCATGCTGGTGACGCTGCCCGAGTGAAGCTGAGCAAGAAAGCAAGACCAGCCACATTCGTGTGTGGTGAGCCGTCGCTCGCCCGACACCTCTCGTCATGGCGTCCAGTGCGCCGATTGCCATCTCGTTCTTGGTGGATCTGACTGCTCGCAAGAGTCAACAAGAGCTCGTCCGCCTTTTGGCTGTGACTGAGAGCCAAAGCCAATATGAGCGGTAAGCTTCCCCACGTCTGAAAGCCCCGACTGGTCAAGTGTCACTGCTCAACACCTTTTTGATCGACTCGCTGCAGAAAACAAGCCTTGCAACAATATGCCCACAATACACTAGCTCGCCTGCTGCGGTTGCTGTCTTTGCTTCGCTGGAGCACTCGCTATCAAAAAGCCCTGACCGTGAGTCATTCTCAAGCGCTATAGCTGCCTTCCCCCCCCCGCCGCCCTTTTTTTTAAAAAAAATTTACACATCGGTTCGCTGCGCCGCGATGACATCAATCTTTTTCTTCCCAAATTGCAGCAAATGACCACGCGCGCGCAAGGGTCCCACCAGTTTGTCGTGGAAACGGCCGATATTCTCGTGCAGCAAGCCCAAGAGCTCCTGCCTGTCGGGTAAGTCGTAGTCAAGCCTTCCTTTCTTTTTTTTGCCTCGAAAACGCGCGCAGGTCAATACCAAGTCACATGTGTCTGACTTGACTGCCCCGACTTGATATCACCTTGGGTCCAAACAGCATTCCTGCTTATCCAGTCCCTGAGGCAGCCACGGTGCTAGCCACGGGAAGCTTCCCGCATCTACCATTGGCTGTGCAGGTGCGTTCGGTCCCATCTTCCTGACCAATCCGTCAGCGACATATCCAGCATTTGGGCATCTCAGCTTTGACCTTGCGGTTTGTGTGCACGCTCGGCAGAACAAGCCGTTGATCAAGCTGGGTGCACAACCAAAGTTGGACAATGTCTTGCATTGGGTTCATCAGCATGTAGCCGCTTCCTTTTCGGCGGCCGGCCGACCGGCAGGAATCGACCATGCCGCCATCGAGGGCGGTCGCTTGTGGCTCGAGGCTCGTCACAGCTTCAGGCTGTCTCTGACCCTGCAACCAAGTCCGCGTGGCCCTGGCATGGTGTGGCGTTTGCTTTCAGTGGACATCTTGGTTGAGGACAAGCAGGCCCTGTTTGCAACAAAAGCCGGTTCGTCAAGTGTCCTCCGTGCCCCCTTTTCTACGAGGCGCCCAGAGTTTGTCTGATCGATTGCTCACCTCCATTCCATGTCCACCGGGCCGCACAGAGGACAAGGATGCACGGGTATTAACCTTGGCTGACATCATGACGCTTCATCATGCTCTGCAAAGCATCCTCAATGCCGAGACGCCTCGCCCTCTCCACGAAGCGTGCTTACAGTGTGCCAAGCTGGCGGCTCGCCTTCAACTACAAGTCCTGGCAGCCAAGGCCCAGCGTCTGATGCAGGGCATGTGGGCCGGCGTCGTTCGACTGACTGAGAATAAAAACGAACGTTTAAAGCTGGAATTCTGGCCTGGCTTTGACGAGCCCCAGCAGCAGGTGTCCGTGCTCATTAGCGGCACAGAGCTTGATGATGATCAACACCTCTCCGTGACAGTGCACCCTGCTTTGCGCGATGTGGAAACTGATCGGCTTATCAAGCCCCACATCGATGTAAGCTCGAGCCTTGCCCCTGCCTCACGTCATCTTGTTGTGGCAATTGTTTTGCCCCAGCTGCCTCGCTCACATGGGTATCTGGTTCTTGACGTCATGCCAGTTGGCTTCACTAGATCCGCTTGAACTAGTCACCACCATCTGGGCTCAATTGTGGCGCATGAAAGTAACACGCTTAAATGCCATCTTTTCGACCTGTGCTTCTCGCCTCGCCCGCCCTCTGAAGGTGACACTCTGCTCAGATGTGCCGCCTCAGCCCAACGTGGCGCAAGGGCCTTGGCTTGAGTTGGCTTTTGCTGACGCGCAATCGGCCACCCTTGTCATCCGTCTCCGACCACTGGGGAACGGCACGATGACATTGTCCTGGGCGTCGAGTCATGTGCCCACCGATGTCGACATCGGTCCGCTGCGTCGCGCTCTCAACGACGTCACGCGTCAGACAGAGACCGTCCTGCAGCCCATCCTGAACGAGCTGTATGCCGATCTGCTGGCCACCGCCGAGCGACAACGGCTGTCTGACAACAGCCGCTTTCACTTTTATCCCACGCCCCCGTACTCCAGCTCAGCATTCTGGCCTCCAGCCAAAGCCAAGGTGGTGGGAGTTTTGCTGGCCCCTTTCCATGCCCACGTCGCCGTGGGCACCACCCTGGACCTTGAGACACTGCAGCTTGCTTGCCATTTGTTGTTGGCTCAACCTGTGGCGGAACGAGAGTTGCTAGCCGGGCGACGCATGGGGCCATCCACGCCAAGCGTTGGCGCGTCTGTTAACATGGACAGCGGTACCAAGGCAGACGGCAGTGTTCCAGCTTTGCCACCCTCTACGGCAGAATGGCTTCTCACCGACCCCCTTTCCATTGCTTTACACTTCAGCCACGTCGCTAAAGAACCCTTTAATAGTGGTTTCGCACATGTCCAGAGCTTGCTCGAAGCCTTGCCCATTCCATCCAGCTCTTTATCCGACGACGCGAGAGCACTGGATGCTGTGCTCGAGCCCCTGGTTGGGCTGACAGCTGTCTGCCGCCAGGTTCGCAGTGCATCTTTTGAAGTGGGACCTGGTGTTGAGATTTGCCTTTCTCCACCACCCCGCAGTCTTTGCCCACCATTGCCCGTCTGTTTGCTCGCCTCATATCGTGTTTGTACCATTTTGTTTTTAGCTGAGTCTTTTGAGCGTTGAGTTTGCGGTGCACACCCTACCATCGGGTCATCTCGTGATTGTTATCAAGGATGTGCCCCGTGAGGCTGCCAGTGGTCCCATCCTCGCCTCGACATGTTGCACCATCGCACTCGGTGCAGATGGCTCCAGGTGTGTACATTGCTGCAGCCAGGCCTGTCGCCGTCTCTGCCAAATGGCTGCTTTAGCACCGCCTCTTCTGACTTTCTTGATTGTGGTTCTAAATTGCAGCTGCTTTGAAATTCTGGCCACAAATGGCAACAGCTATCGCAGTCCTCCCATCCCCGCAGCCGCGTATGTTCCTGCCGAGAGTGCCCTTGAAGCTGCTGTATTAGCGCAAGCGAACTTTGTTCTCGTCTCGATGATCGGGGCAGTCATCTCATGATTGTCTGTCGTGCGGCTTGTGGTCAATCCATGCTCTCTCTCACAGGGTGGTCAGCAAGCTCGAGCCGACGGCGCGCGCGTTGAGCTTACTGGCCGAGGTCAACAGGGTAATGGCCAAAAAGCAACTGCCATTTTTGTCAGGGGAAATGGTGCCCTCGCAGGCCAAGCTGCGCTTTCGCATGGACCTGGAGGATGGACAAGTGGTTGGTGCTCAGCCGTGGTTGACTGGCGAGCTCGGCTTGGATCAAAAAACGCAAGCTCTAGGCTTGCAACAGCTTTGTTTTGCCGACAAAACACCATGCCAACTGCCCTCGCTTTCGCTCTTGGAGGAGTTTTGCAACACGTCGGGTGGCTTCGGAAAGTGCATGTATGCGTTGCATCGCACGGCCAACGTCATGACTGCTGTGCAACAGACAATCGAGGCGGGCCTTGAAGTCCTCATGGTCACGCCGACCCGCTTCTGCTTGTATGACAATCTTCTTGGGCGTCACGGTATCGAAGTTGCCGTTCGAAGTGACAACATGGTCGTGATTCGGGATTTGACAGGAGTCGTCAAACTGAACTCGCAGTTGACGGGTGTGTCCCCGGTCATGGGCATCAGTGTTTCTGGTTCGCCGACCCATTTTCAGAGTCCGCGCCGTGAGGACTTGGTGCAGACCGTTAAGCGCAAGTTGCTCCGGCTTCATGAACTGCTCGATTGCCATGAGAACAAGGAGGCCTTGTACTTTGTCAACACCGACGTGCTCTTGCGCCTTTTGGCGGCCCCGGATGCCGTTTCACCACTGGCTTGCCACTTTGGCGCCTGTCGCATTGCTGAGGGTCTAGAGCGGTTTGCCAGCTTTCGCAAGGTTGATTGCGAGGTTCTCAAATCCCATCGTGAGGGATCTTTCGGTGCGTGGGGGCCTATGGGTAAACTCGTATTCGCTTTGCATACCTTTGTCAAACAAACAGGAAGAAGAAAGGAAGCAGCTTTTCGGCTGTCCCCATTCTCTTGCCAAAAGTTGACATCGCGCTTATCGAATTTTTTTTTTTTTTTTTTGATCACAATCTTGTAGCTGTCAAATATCGGGTCACCCACGGCCGTGAGGTGGGTCGGGAGGTGGATTGGAGCTACTCACAAGATTCTTGTGCAGCCACGGCCACCATCAAGAGCTTGAGTCCGGACGAGGCTTCTTTTATTGCTTTTTGTCAGAAAAAGGTCAGAATCAGGCTTCCTGGCCTGCTTTTCTCAGCCAATCGTTTGGCGTAGCGAGTGGAAATAAACCTACAATATTTTGATAGACAACAATGAACGGATTTGACGACGTTTTTGCTGTAATTGTCACTGATGGCGTTCTTCTCTGTTCCGTGTTACATCATAATAGCTGTGCGATCTTCGTTTATCTTCGGCCGAGGCGTCGGCGCTTGCGCATTTCTTGAATTTGCGGCCAGAGCTCTTGTCTCAATTTGCTCAGTTGCTCTGCATGTACGTTTCACCTTGTTTGAGAGAGCAAGCGATCTGATGTATGGAAGAGGCAACGCCTTGTGGTTTGAAGCGCTGCTGTTCTTCTCCCTTCCTCATCCTCTCATTGGGCTTGGTGCCTTAATGTGACACCAACTGCTTGTCTGGCCCTCCTTAGCGATGGCTGTCGCTTGTTGCTTAGCGTGCCCGAGGGTTATGAGCTGGTTGAGCGTTCGGCTGACTGGCCAGCAGCCCGAATTGTTGGGTGCGTATTCCCCTCTCATTCGACAGTGCCTCTTCATGACTGCAAAGCCAAGTGAAGGTGACGCCTTAAGATTGTCAGCCGCAAGATCCAATGGCTTGTTTTTTGACGATGTGTGGAATAGGCGCGGGGATGCGCTCTCGCAGGATATTGAAGCGGTGAGCTGCATCGTTGAGCTGGATCAAGGCGACGGCAAGAGTTGCATCGTTCCCTTGACATTACAAGTTGGCCAAGTAAGTTGTGCGTCCTTGATCACTGCTCTCGAGTTGCCTTGCATCTTACTTGAGCCCATCATCTTTATTTTAGCGAGTTGTGCCGTGGGCTGCCAAGAAGGGCTGCACTCCAGCTGTCGCCCAATATCTTCGCCGTTTGCAGTTCTTGATCGATGATCTGAGCGAGGTTGATGCGATCTCCTTGCCTGCCGCAGTCAAAGCGCTTCGTCAAGAGCTCGTACGTTAGCTCAAACCCATCTTTGAGGCTCGTTCTGCTGAGCACGACTTGCATCGATTCCTTGCCTGCCAATTGAAAAAAAGGGGAAAAAAAAAAATCCACAAGTCAAGATGCTACTGTAAATCGTTCAAGCACGTTTACAAGTGTTGCATGCTTCTTGGTGTTTTTCTTTTATCTTTCTTTGTTCACACACACTCAAATCAAAGTGTTGTTTCACACACATGTCAGTGGCATTTGTGGCTTTCGGGTTTGGATCAGCATGGATCCCGCGTCGCTGAAAGTGACCGAGCTCAAGGCGGAGCTCGCCGAGCGAGGCCTGCCTACCAGCGGGCGCAAGGCAGAGCTGGTAGAGCGTTTGTCAACTGCGCTCCAAGAGTCCGCCTCCAGCCCGCCTCCCGCGGCAGTTGCGGCAACCACGGCGGCCACTGCGACCGTAAAGGAGGAGGCTCAAGAGAATCAGCCCGTTGCGTCGACAACGAGTGAGGAGGCGGTGCCGAAACGCGAGGCGCAGGAGTCTGATACTGCAGCAGAGTCCGAGACCGCTGGCCCTGCAACCAAACGGGTCAAGCAGGAGCCGAATGAGACTTCCGTCAAGCAAGAGCCAACGGAGGCCAGCATTGCTCCCAAGCAAACGGCCAAGGCCGAGCCCACGGACGGTTCTGTGCAGGGTCATCAGGCAACCGGCGCTGACGATGAGGATGAGGAAGAGGAGGCCTTCCGACGCTACGAGCGTGAGGCTCAACTTGAGCGCTCGCGTAACTGTCCTTACCTCGATACCATCAGCCGGTGAGCACAGTCAACACTGCAGGCCGAGCCTATTTTCTTTTTCGTTTTTTTAAGCTCACTATCTCCACCCCGTCGTCGCCGCTGACCCGCTCTGACCCGGGCTTTGCTTGCTCACCTCATTTCGTTGCGATGTGGACCCATGGTGCCTTTGTCAATATCATGTGGCGTCGGCGTTCTTGCGTGCGCGTGTGTGATGGGTTGTGTCCGAGTAGTGCGCGCTTGGACTTTGATTTCGAAAAGCTCTGCTCCGTCAACTTGAGCAACCAGAACGTTTATGCCTGCCTTGTTTGCGGCAAGTACTATCAGGGCCGAGGCAAAGGGACCAATGCCTACATGCACAGCCTCGAAGCTAGCCACCACGTGTTTTTGAACCTTCACACCCTGCGCGTAGGTTTCATCGCTGTGGTGCCCGCCGTGGGTTTTGTGAAGCGCAAACTCTTCATCGTCATAGTCTCTCTCTGTGTGCGTGTGTGTACTTACCTCTTCTGGAACGAAACGTTTTGTTTTTGTTAGTTTTACTGCTTACCCGACAACTATGAAGTCATCGACAACTCGCTGTCCGACATTCAGGTTAGCACAGCCCTTTGCACCTGACCGTGCCCAAGAAGCCTGTACCTTACCTCCGGGCCATTTACCATATTTTGGCCAAGCGTGCTCATGCATTCGGCTCGACTGTGCCTGGGGTTGTGGGGGTAGTTTGTGCTCAAGCCAACCTTCTCAAAAGCGATGATGCACGCATTGGATCATTCCAGCCGATACTCGCGTGCTCTCGATGGCACAACCTACCTGCCGGGTAAGGCCTCATGTTTTTTTTTTTTTTTTTTTGAAACGACGGTGAAACGATGCCACCCCTGCAGCTGTCTAAACGCTCATATTGGCACCCGCGTATGGCAGGCATTGTTGGTTTGAACAACATCAAGGCCAATGACTACGTCAACGTCGTTGTGCAGGTGGGTACTGTCAAGGGTCTTCTGCTTTTGTACCTGCTTGATCTTACGTGCTGGGTTGAATGCATGGCACGGCACCTTGCAGACGCTGAACCGCGTACCTTCGCTGCGCAACTTTTTCCTGGACCCCGAGGCCACGCGTCGCATGACTGATCCATTGATTGTTTCAAGTAGGTTCCTTTTGGCTCTCGCTCTCGCCAAAGTCTCCTTCAGTGCTGATCATGATGCGTCGACTGTGCCGACGCTGTTGTCATGCGGTAGTGACGGAGCTGATTCGCAAGATCAACAACCCCCGTGCTTTTAAGAGTCACGTCTCGCCACACGAGTTCTTGCAGGCGGTCAACAATGGTTCCAAGCGTCAATTTCGTCTGACTGAGCAAGCCGATCCAGTGGACTTGCTGTCATGGTTGCTGAACACCTTGCAGCGCAAGCTGAGCAAGCGCGGGTCCAACATTGTGGCCGACACGTTTCAAGGGCGCATGCGGGTTACATCTCGGAAGCTGCCACCTCCTCCTGATGTCCAGGAAGTGAGCGGCTTGCGCATCGATCCGAACAGCGAAGAGTATCAAGGTCAGCCCGCTGGCAGTTCTTGCTTGAACCCAGATGTCAGGAAGCGATGCAAGAATGCAAAGTCGGCACATTGACAACTCTTGATTCCCGGGCGTTACTTCTCACCCGCCCCACGTCCTTGTGGACAGACAAGGTGTCGGAGCAAAAATTCTTGTTCTTGGGTCTTGACCTTCCGCCACCACCGCTGTACCAAGACGAGACGCGCCAGAACATCATCCCTCAGGTAAGGTACACCACAGTCCGCTGCCAAGCACAAAAATCAGGCTGTGGTGTGGTTTGGCCACCGCGCGATCCGTGCACCGCTTTGGTCATATCCTGCTGATGCTCGCTGCGGGCCTAGGTGCCGCTCTTTGAGCTGCTCTCCAAGTTTGATGGTTCCACTTCAAGCGAGTACAAGACGTACAAAGATACCATTGTCAAGTCCTTTCGCCTGCTTGATATGCCGCAGTATCTGATTTTGCACGTCAAGCGCTTCACGAAAAATGCCTTTTTTGTGGAGAAGAATCCGACCATCGTCAACTTTCCCGTCAAGTTCGTAGTCGTTTTGCTCATGTTGGCTCTGTTGTCTATCTAAAACGATGCGGCCTGACAACTTAATGTGTCAATTGCGGGCTTATCGCGACCGTCCTGTGACGCTCTTCAGGGACATTGATTTTGCTGGCCTGGTTGCCGAGGAGTTTCGGGACAGCTCCAAGACTTACAAGTATGATCTTCTGTGCAACATTGTCCATGACGGGTTGCCTGGTGCTGGCAAGGGCACCTATCGCGCACATTTGTATCACAAGGTATGGAATAGAACTGCGATTCTTGCATGGGTTGAGGCGTCCTCGGATACTTTGTCCTGGTGCTTAGCGTCGCATCTTGTCTACAGGGCTGTAAGAAGTGGTTTGAGGTGCAGGATTTGCACGTTGCCGATGTGTTGCCGGAAATGATCACGTTGTCCGAGTCGTACATTCAAGTATGTGTCTTCAACTAGAGCGTACAGCCGGCAGATGGGCCATGTGCTCGCGGCCACTCATCCGGCCGTTCTTGGTCTGCGCTACCGTTGTCTTCAACAGGTCTGGGAGCGACAAACTACAACCCCGGCCAAATCGGAGAGCATGGATTCATCTGCAGATGCCTAGGGCGCCTTTTGAAGCGCCCATCTCAGTAATGGCGGATCTGAAGGCGGATCTGAAGGGGGGGTTTTTTTTTTTTGGTTTGCTCCTGTGCCCGACGTTGAATTGACGGTCGAAGACTGCTAGTTTGGAGGATAGATTGACGCTATGAACCTCTGCACTCGATGAAGGCGCCATATCTGCATGTGGGCCAAAGTATATGAGCATTCGTGCCGCGTCATCTTTAAGATGGTTCAAGACATGGATGCGTTATTGATGTTTTAAACTACGAGTTGATGAATTTGTGTTTTGTTGGTCCATCACTGCCTTCTGAGGGCTTGCCATGGCATTTATTGCTTGTGCCAGCTCAGCTGAGCACAAGTCAGAAATATAGCGTGGCTGGTTGCCAGTACAGCAGGGCTATCATCTATCGCGCCTCGAGCAACTACTCAGTAATGTCGAGGTCAACAACCATTCCATCGTGTGAATGGTGGTCATGTGGGTCTGAGGGAGGACCAACCGGCTCTGGCACCTCGTCCTCACCATGTTCATAGTGTAGCTCGGGAAGCTTGGAACACAAGCACAACTTTCGGCGAGCAGGCGTTGCACTTGGCGCCGCGCGCATGGAACTATGCATGCTGGACTGGTCCTGCATTCGCAGGAGCCGGGCTTCTGGGTCCTCAAAGGCAGGTTCAGTGGTCGGGGTACGAAGGGGGTGCTTTTGTGTGTCTGTAGACGATGACGTTGCAAGCTGCAGCGGGGGTGGAAGCACCGCAAAGAGTGCGTGGCAAGCATCGCAGGTTGCTGGCATCGTCCCCGGGTCCAGGGTACCCACACCGTTGGCCATCATCTTAACGCATAACGCTCGGTCTGCTGAGAGCAGGGCTACACGAAATAGCAGAGCACAATCGTCAGTCCAAGTCTGAGTGACAGGGATGAAGTCACCTGTGACAAGGCCATGATGAAGCTGCAAGCAAGCCACCATGATGCGCTCGTCATTGGTGCGGGGGTCCAACAGCGGGTGACGGGACCGCGCATGCTGAAGTGATTGTCCTATGTGTGTGTAGCGAGTCGCCAAGAATGGCAAGAATGGTTGGCCATCATCAGCTTAACTCAGGTCGAGCTGGCTGTGCAGGTATAGCCATACAGTGATGCCGAGACGCATAACCCCTGGCGAGGCACAGAGGCACAGGGACTGGGTGGGGACAAACCGATAATATGCCCGGTCCCACGTGCAAGTTCAGATTGCAGCCATCTGTTGCAATTGGCGGTCGTTGACAAGGGAGGGTTAATACAGCGAGTCGGATCAAAGGGGGCACACGAGGCCGGTCAGAGCGACGGACCGCATGGCAGCTCGTGCTGAAGTGGAAATATCCAGCACACTGGCGCGAGAAGCGCTTCCAGTGTCATGACTTTGCAAATGAGACTCTTTGAGCCGATCGAGCTCATCGAGCACAACGTAGGGCACTAGCAAAACAACCTGCAAGCACAGGCCCAGGAAAGACATGCGTGATGAAATTGATGCCCAGTCTGAAGCCGACACAGCCAAGTAAGCGTCATTATCGAACCTGGAAAACACCCACGTTTGCCGTAGCCAAGATGCCTTGCAAGAGAGCTAGCCGGGATAAAAATACGTTCGTGTCTACTACAATAAAAATTACTGGCCGTTCCTGGTGCGGTAGAAGCCGTAGCGCGTGCAAGGTTGGCTCCTCATGAGCTGAAATGAGATGCGCCGAAGCGAGCAGACGATATGGCTCGGGCGCGGGACTGACAATCGATGCGATGGGAAAGTGGCTGTGTATGTGGGGGGCGGAAGGTGTCGGTGCTGCTTCAATGGCGGAGCTTGAAGGGGCATCGCGCAAGCTAGAGACGGCACGAACCGCCTCCACGAGCTCATCAGCGCTTGTGTCCTGCGCTCACAAAACGATGGATAGGTGAGCAGATGACTGGCCCAAGTGCCAGCAGTCAGCCCACAATCAAGAATTTTTACCGAGCCTTCACCTCCTACCCTCTTGTGTAGGACTGTGCATCCACATACCATAATGGTCCACGGTTCCAGCCGCCACTGCCACCGTCACACAGACGCCACACTGCCCGTGTCTAACGTTAAAAATTGAAAAATATAAAAATTTCAAACTAAAATTCATTGAGAGCACATGATAATTGAAAGACACCATTGGCCAATTTTTTTGAATTTGATGGGTGAAATGACAGGGCAAGAGGCGGGCACAATGGCGGCAGCCGAGTCAAGGCCGGCCGCGGGTTCAAAAGACCCGAAGGACTGCCTTGAGTGTCGCATCATTGGCACTGTGTCCTTGGCTGCAAGCAGTGCGTGATGCGTGGCCTGCTCTGTGTTGTGTGTGTGATGGTGGTGCGGCTTTGTGGCGGTTCGCAACTGGTTCTGGCGACAGCCTCATTCGAGCGGAATGTGACATCAATAATCGATTTGACTGGTATAGGTGCCTACTTGTTGCACCATGCGCGGCTGATTGAGCGCAATCCATCGAGCCACCGCTTGATCATGCGCGGTTTTGGCGCAGGTGGGTGACTGCACAACCATGCTTGCGAGCTCTGCCCGAATGGTGTTATTGGAGTTGGGGGGTCCAGCGTTCCGGACCGTGCTGATGCTCGATGCCGCCTGTGACAACCCATAGTTTTGGCTGCCCTGGCCGTGGCGCGAGCTCTTGTCTGAGTGGTCCATCGCAACGCGGGCAAAGTTTGCTTGCTGACATGTATTGCTGGGACACTGGCGCGGCAGAGCATTACCCGGCGAGCCGCGACTCGCCGCTCACGAAAAAGTTTGCCTGCCAGTTGTGACCCCAATGAAGGACCAAAAGAGAAGTGAACAAAACAAAAGACAAACATGGTTTTTAATAGGAGCTGCTTCAAACCCGCCACGTTCAACTGGTCGCCCACGGGTACGTAGCCCGGGCCCACACGCAGCCCGGGCCCACACGCAGCCTACCGGTTTTCAGTTGGGATGCAGTGCCAATGGGGCGAAGGCTGGGTGGCATCCAACCACTTGAAATCGTTGACCTTGTCCCAATTATTTGTGTCTCGGGGCAGACCCGAGGCCTGTGACATGAATCGACCGTGAGCTTTATCGGCTTCTTGTCCAAAGTGGTTTGTGCATCTGAATCGATCGACCGCAACTTGAAATCGAGCCAATCAGCTGCAGTCATCATCGACCCACCTCAAAGTCCTCGTCCAGCCGCTCATAGGTCCAGTTGTAGGGAGCAAAGCCCAACTGAAACACACGTGAGAAACAGAAAAGACTCAGATTCAGGACGCAAACCTCGAACATGCGGCGCAGGCAGGCAAGGGAGGCAAAGCGTTGAGGAAGTGACTGAAGTGACCCAAGTAGAAGAACCTACACGATCACAATCCTCGATAATTGCCCGGCTCGATACGTGAATGTAAAAGGCTGTATCATACGCATTATGAATACGCATCTGCGCAAACAGTCAGGGGAGTGAGGAGTGTGGCTTGTTTGCATCGCACAGAGAGAGAGAGCGAGCGAGCCACTGCTCGTTGTCTTGCCTGTTGGCAAGCCGCAACGAATGTCGTATTGACGCAGCCATCGATTAACCAGGAGCTAAAAGGAGGAATGGCACAACAGGTCAAAGGCACATGACAGTTTTTGAATGCGAGCACACATGGCTCGGATCATAGATCATCACCTCACCGTGAGACGGGCCCGGAGAGAATCTTGCAGTTGTCAAGCCGACTCACATGGCCACTACCCAAGGCGGCTTTAATAATGACTGCGCATGGGCATGGTGGCCACGGGCATAGCAAGTTAGAATGGTAAACGAAAAGGCCAACAACAAAGTCCCGCACAGCATCATATGCGCACCGGTGCAGTTTTTAAGGTTGTGTAAAGACACGTCCTTGCCATTCAACTCGCTCTAAGTCAGTGTGCACGAAACACGTTCGATAAAATGAGCCGAGCTGGTGGTTGTACCGACCGCGAGGGGTATATTACGAGCAAGCTCATTGTCGCCTAGCAATGAGCAGATGAAAAACCAAGCGCAAAAAAGGCATTCCTTTTTACACATTAGGCACTCACCCCGAGTTCAATCGTCTGGTCTGTCTGGTCCGCAAAGATGCGGCTATTGGGCGAAGCAGCCACGGGTGCAGCAGCGTCCGCCTTTGCAGACGACAGCGGCTCTGCCGAGGCAGATGATGAGACATCTGCCTCAGTGGAGGGGACGGCGCGGCTCTTCTTGCCCTAGGGGTTGATTCATTCATTCATTCGTTTTGTTACAAGAAAAGCAGACGCTACTTGAAGACTGTGACACCATGAAACACTCGCAACAAACCTTGAAGGCAAATCTTTTTTTCGGGATGAGTTCAGCTCGGCGTTGCTGTAGGCTCTCATCAAACTCATTGATGCTCTGAGCAAAGCAATTGACCGGGGTTCGGGTTGGACAGCAAGTATAAGAAGCGAGAGAAGCGCTGGTGGTTCGTACGATCGAGACAAAGTTAGCGCTGCAAGTGGACCATACCAGTTGACAGCGACGGAGATCATAAGCAGGCAGAAAGTGGGCCGCATCGTTGAGGGACTTGCGCAAAGCAGCAAACTGAACCGTCAATTCGTCGAAGCGAGCTGTCAGCTTCAATTTACCCATCTCAGCCGTCAGGGCATCTCGACTCGCGGCAAGCCCTGTTTTGGAGTAGCACCAGGGCGGCGCACGCATGATGAGGCTTGCGGCAAAGGCACATTGAACACGTCGGGCTGCCTCGTCCAAGCCAATGACCTCCTACAGTCTTGAACCAAGAGCAAACCGCAAAGTTTGGTATTTGTGCGAGTGTTACCTTGTAGTTGGGCGCGGAAATCCTTTTCAAAGTCGGTCACGCTCTCCTCTGGATTGGCCTGCTGTTCGGCAAACTGGCGCAAGAAAACGGCAAGTCAAGCGTCACGGCGCAGTTCGGACTGCTTCAAGGACCAGGCGAGGCTGAGGCACGTACTTCCTTATCAGCTTGAATTTGCTCAGCGCGGGCTGTGTGGCGTGCATCAAGCTTGGCCATCATGGCCAGCCGACGCGCTTCCACGTCTTCCATGTCAGCCATGCTGCCACACGTGTTTCGCATAGGCTGCGTCCTATCTATGAGCCTCAATGACACCTGACATTCAGGACATGATGAGCCTTTGTCCGAGGAGACGATGGAAACACCATGCCTGAGGCATGGTGCTCTGCCACCATGATCAGCAGCAGCAAGAGGAGGAGGAGGCGGAGACGAAGGAGGCGGAGAAGGAGGCGGGGGCGGCATCGCTCACCTCCTCAAAACTCAAAACTCGTGCAAATTCAAAATTGGCTTGCAATGCTGACAATTCATGGCTCAGATGAATCGCCGCCGGTTGATAGGGTTCGAAACACCCGTTCCGAACAATCCGACCCGAGTCTCCAAGTCTTTTCGTCTCTTGGCAAGCGTTACATGTGCTGACACTCGTTGGGTCTTTCTTTCTTTCTTTTGTTGTTTGTTCATAAGAATCGAATGGCAGCGGGACGTCAGTGGCGGTCAAGTGGCATCGCGGGGTGGCGGCGGGCGGCAAACGGCAAACGGAGCGGCTGCCCTTCTGATCGATGAACCGTGTGCGGCCCTGCGCCTGTGCCCTCTCCTTTCAGTTTTCAGTCGTGGTTGCGTGGCTTGTTTCCGGGCCACACACACGCACAACCTGATGACGATTGCTGCTGCTGCTTGTATGCGCTCAAGCCAGTTGGCACCTTTCTCTTCTCCTCTACGACACTGCACGGCTACAAGGTCACCACGTCCATAAGCGAGACCGCCCGCTGTCAAAACCCATTCAGGCAAGCCCTTTACATCTACACAAACAGCACCCAGACCTACAATAACCTCTAATGTGTGTGTCCCTCTGTCTCTCTGTCTCTCTTTCTCTCTCTCTGCTTGTTTGTCTTTGTATTTTTCTCTCTCTCTCTCTCTCTCTCTCTCTCTCTCTCTCTCTCTCTCTCTCTCTCTCTTTCTCTCTCTTTTTGGCTTTTGCTTTTGTTGTTGTTGTTGTTTGTTATTGTTGCTACTGTTGCTGCTGTTGGCTTTGCGGACGTGCTTCAAACGGCAGCGGCGACTGGCTCGCTCGTGGCTGTAACACAGGAGTGGCTTGTACCCTCTTGCGTTGCTGGGTTGGTTCAGGTTGCTGCGCAAAGTTCAACTGGTCTTCACTTTGGAACTCGCCCATCACGCTGCTCCTTTTCACGGCGCAGCTCGGGTGCATGTCTGTTTCTGTTTGAGGGAAAGGGGTTGGGTGGCAGTCATAGTGTGCTTCCGTTCACCGCGGTGTCCGGCTGCCGCTGAAAGGGGCGGAAGAGCATTCCGTCATCAGCGTGGCTTGTGTTGCTGTCTGTACATTTGTGCAACACCTCTTTCGGTGGCTTTGAGCTCACCATCCACACCAGCTTGGTGACGGACCGACTTTGCCCGACACCGACGGCGGGGGTCCACGCCAGCCCCGCATCTGTCGTGTTGGTTTAACATCAAGCAACATGGAGGTGCTGGATCCCGTTGAAGATCCCGAGCACGAGGTCGCCGAGGCTTTGGCCGAAATGGGCGAGACGCTCAAGTACTTTGCCACCAAATCCGACTTCAGTTTGGCCACACCTGAGGTCTGGACCTGCTTGCATGCCCCGCGCCACGACGGTTTCGCACCTAGAGCTGCCGAACCACGAGCAGTCCAGTCCATCCGAGTCTCCCGCTCTCCTCAGCGTGCTTTGGTTTGTTCCTCATAATTTCCTGTCCCCGTACAGCGAACCAAGGTGGCGCGCGTGGTCCGTACTTTGTTGGAACGGGATTACCATGTTCGCGTAAGTCATCCCTGCCGTTGGTGTCGGATGCTTCCGGGGCTCGCCACTTTTTGCTTTGCAAAGTGTGTTTTCTTGGGAAGAGCTTCATTGCCGGTTCTCCCCCCCCTCTCTCTCTTTTGGGACCTTCTGCTAGGCCATCGACAACCGCAACGGCCGGCTTTGCAGTCACTATCCCTTCGAGCTATACATTCTGGAGGGCCACAAGGGCTCAGAGTGCGTGCCTTAGCTCGTGGCGCCGCTCATTCTTGATTCTTGCCTTGGCATCCACGGCTAATGTATTTGCCTGCGGCCCACCTTTGCTCCTGACAGCGAGTTGATTAACAACGCCGACGAACTGGACATGGTTTTCTCGGGCGAGAGCCAATACGCTCGTTGTCGGCGCCGCTTTGTTGTGCCCGTCATTCTGATTGACTCGATGGTAGGTATCGCTTAGTCCCACCGGCGCTCGCATGGCCATCACACTGTCCTGCTCGCGGCCTCACTGACAACGCCGTGATTGGGTAGAACATCTGTCGGAGTGCAACGCTCTCGCGTTCGGGCGAAATCGTGTACCGCCAATCATGCACGGCCGTGTCCAAGGTCTACGGTGCGTGGCACTGGTGTCAGCACCACCTAGATCTCCTTGATGCCCCAGTCATATGCTCAATACAGACTAGTTTTCGTTTTCGGCTTGATTCTCATCCTTGCATCTCGGGGCTTGTCTTGGCCTGTTGCAGGCGCGCTTTGGGAAGACGCATCCACTGAAGCAGCCGCACACGCTCGTCAAAACAACGAGCTCATTCCCGCCACTTCAGACTCGGTGTATATGGCCGCAGCGTATGTTTTCGTTTCCCTCGGGCAGACCCCCCGCCCAAACCGTACCATGAACCGTTCTAGGGACTTGTTTTGTGCTTGCACATGCGAACGCGGAGTATTTTACGACGCTTGAGCCGCATTCACTCACGCTCTCTGTTTGCGGGATCGGGCGCCCTGTTGTAGTACGGCAACCGACATGGCAACAGCGCAGGAGCGCATGAGTGCGCTGGAACGCTGTCGCCGAGCTGATGTTGAGCTCCTCCGTCACTTGCGTGCGTCCATGGTGTCGCTCATTTTTTGTTATGACGACTCACTGCAAACCCTGATACAGGCACACGATGGACTCAACACAACACGCCCGGCCTGCATTGCACCCTGTATAGGCGTGCAATTCATCGCGGATCTCATGATTGAAAAGAAGAAGGTCAAGTACGGCCTTCACGTTTCTTCGTCGGAAAAGGCCGACACCAGCGGTAAGTTTCTCACACGATGCAAAACTATTCTGGGCAAGCATGCTAAATATCGAGACACAGTGATAGAAATAACTGTGCGCTTTCCTTGATCTGGCAGGCATGTACGATTCATTTGACTTGGTGGCTCTGCCGTATCCGGGCGTCGAGTGGTTCAACTCCATGCGCGAGCAGCACTACAACCCTTTTAAGATTGTGCGCAGCCTGCCCGTGCTCGTGCCCGTGTCGTTCCTTACCATTCCTTGCATGGCTTGCACTGTATGCTTCAACTCATTGGGGGCAACATACGGTCACGGGCTTTTAGTTTTTCAACTGGTCTCACCCCGAGGTGTCCGTGGATCTGACCATCCCCAAGCAAGCACGCGCCTTGGTGGACACGGATTGGTCCAACTATAAAAAGTGGGATTTGGTGACTCTAACCAAAAACTATCTCAAGTTGATGCTGGCCCACATTCGCACCAACAAGGAGGATGGTTGGTTTTGCTCGAATTGGCAACAACCGCCACAAGGCCTGAAGTCATTGCTCTTTCTTACTCCTTCCCCTTGCCCTTTCCCCCCCCTCTTTCCTGGCGGACCCTTATGGCAGCGGATCAAGGTCTTCTCGTGCATTGCATCTCTGGCTGGGACCGTACGCCCCTGTTCACGTCCTTGCTACGACTCTCACTCTGGGCGGTATGTGCCTCCCCGGTTCGCTCGATTGCCACGTCGGGCAGCCCGCTCGTTTGCATAGAGCCTGCATGTGTCTCACACGCGTGCACGGGGTTGCTCAGGATGGCTTGATCCATCAGTCGCTCTCTGCCGAAGAAATGCTATATCTAACCGTGGGCTACGACTGGCTGCTCTTTGGCCATCTGCTTCCTTCGCGTTTGAATAAGGGGGAAGAGATTTTTCTTTTTTGTTTTGACGTTCTGCAGGTCAGTGTGTCAGTGTGGGTGGAGTGGCGGTGTGCGTGCGTGCGCATGTGCCTTTGGGCTTTTGCTTCAGCATCTGTGTGCCTCCTATACTCACGCTGACACGGTGTGCCTTGAATTGGCCCCAGTACTTGGATTCCGATGAGTTTTCGCTCAACCCAGGGCGCCCCGAGGAGGTGACCGAGCCCGCCTCACCCGCTTTTAGTTCTGATGCCGAACCTGTCAAAACGCCCACGTTGCGCGAGCCATCGCCCTTTTCCGAACTCGAAGGTGTGTGCAGTTGAGTGCCTTTCCCGACCGATCGCCTTCTCAGAGCTCCTGGGAGAGTCTGTGACTGTGGGCGATTGTCAACTGAGCGCCTATTTTTTGGCGTGTTCATGCAGACATTGAGTCAGCACACCCGCTGGAGGAAACCAAGCGGTAAGCTCGTCTTTGTCTTGGTGTCTTGGGGGGTTTGCCTAGACTGCTGTGATGTGTGTCATCTAATCTGTTCTAAACCTTTGCGGGCATGCTCCATACGGTGCCAGGGAACGTTGTCACAGTGCCAATCCCGGAGAACACGAGCCTTCCCAACCCATTGCAGTGCCAGGCGTCCGAAGGGTATGTTCACAGCTCGCACATTGTCCAGGCGCACATGAGGCAGTCATGCTCGTTTCTCATCGCAGTTGGCGCTTTTTTTCTTTTCTTCTTCTTGTATGCTTTTATCCCTCCAGAGCGCCTCTCTTAATTCTGTTAACGAGTCTGTCGGGAGCTGGACCGTGCTCGGCAGCCGCAATGCCTCTGTTCGCAGTGTGTGCGAACATCCGGCAGCATTGGACTTTGACTCGAGCAAGCCTTCTTCCCTGGAGGTGGGGTCGCCACGCCCACCCTTGCCCCTGATCCTAAGCGCCACTCCACCTTCTGGCGCCGACTCGGACGATCAGGAACCACCAACGGCCTGCTCTTGTGCAAGCGCCACTGGCGAACCGTGTCGGGCCGTGCAACACCAGGTCATGACGGAGCGCCAACGCCGTCTCCATGCGGTGCGCAGCAAGTTTATCCCCCTGTATCGTGCGGCTGTGCCGCGCACAGGTTCAGAGGGCTGGATGGAATGGATGGGTCGTTGGTGGTCACAGATGCGTGTTTGAGATATCATTGAGCTACTTGGCACCAGCCACCATGGGTGTCGCCAGTGGAGCTGAATTTGCTGCTGTCAGTCATCAGTGCACTTTTCTTTTCGTTTCTTCGTTGTATTGTCTTTGTGCAGCTGCTTTGTTGTTGTGTGGGCTTCTTCATCTGTGGGCTTCCATGCCCACTGCGTTGTCTCTTGAGGGTGCCAGGTGGCCAGAGTTTGGAGTTGTGGTCGCAGGACTTTTTGTGAGATTTGCGTGAATGGGGTCATGTTTCGTTTTTCCATTGATGCGTGGAATGCATGCATGGAGCATAATCCTTCCATATTTGGCCTATATGCCTCGGCGAGCATCATTTAACATTGATGTTGGGCACAAATACAGACGGCTTCGGCTCGGAGATAGATTCTGTCAGTAAACAAGCAAGAGGAAAAAGAGACACATGGACAAAGGGAGTACAAAAGTGGGGCGAATGAGAGAAAGAAAAAAAAAAGAAAAAAAAAAAAGAAGAAGATGAGGATGAGGAAACGGAAGCAAGTTCGATACGGCAGCAGCCGCATTAAGAGGATGAATATAGCGTCGCTGTCGCTGGCGTCAGAGCCAAGATGTCAACAGGGTTGGCCTTGGCCCAAAACGGCTGCTTCAAAAAAAGAGGAATTGCCCAGTCGGCTTAGTTGGCCATCTTCTTAATTTCACCGGACAGCACCGTCACCGACTCGCCCAACTAGGGTTTCATCGATTACACAGCCGAGGCAAATGACAACAGGTGAGCAAGTATTTGGGCGAGCATGGGCGAGACACGGCTGCATGCGCTGGATGGCAGGGCTACGCACCTCGTAACCATCCGGCGGAGGTTCGTCACCGACCACGTTCTGCTCGACAAAGAGTCGGGGCAGAGGTGGCACTGGTAGCTGTGCTGGTTGAAGCACCTCATCCACGTTCATGCCGTAAGGATGCTTCTACAAAAGAGGAGCAGCCAGGTATCCAGCGGTACAAGCAAGATGTGGCGACAATCAGTTTCAACCAGGTCAGCCAAACGCACTCAGTCATGGGAGAGGGACGTACGTCGCCCTCGATGAGGAAGAGCTGGTCCATCATGCGGCGACGGAGCTTGTTCTTGGGTAGCATGCCGTTAACGGCCTTGCGCAGCACCTCAGTTGGTTTGCGGGCGTGCATATCGCGGGCCGTGCGCTCACGGAAACCTCCGGGCCAGCCTGTGTGCCACCTGTAGAGCTTGTCGTCCCATTTCTTACCGGAGAACTGCACCTTCTATTTGAAATTTGCCGACAGCCATTACAGCACGAGTCAGAAGGGTGCGAGCTTCAGCTAAAGCGCAGTTTCAACAAGGGTGGTCTGCGCGTTGGTCTCAAGCTCGATGAGCGGTGCAGCTCCCCAGACCACCACGAATCCCACGTACATCAGCGTTAATGACGACAATGTTGTCCCCCATTGTAGTGGTGGGATGGTAAATGGGCTTGGTCTTGCCCTGCAATTGCATGGAGAGCTGCGCGGCCAGCCGACCAACGGGCTGGTGGGCTGCGTCCACCAACACCCATCGCTTGGTGTGCGTCAACAGAGCCTGGTAGAGCGCAGAGACAGGTCAGGGGTGAAGACATGTGGCAATGGGTTGAGCGAGACGTGCAGGTGTGGGTGAATCAGGGCTTGAAAGGCCCAATGGAACACAGGTTTACAGACACTTTCAGACACGCTGTTGCTGCTCCGCAGTTGCACCGCCAGCACCACGTACCCGACTCGACTGCGATGCCATCTTGCACCCTGAGTCACAAGAAGAAGAAAAAAGGAACAAAAAAAGAGCAGCAAGGGTCAGGGACACGCTCCATGAGCCCACGACAGGAGTGAGGAGGTTTGACGGTAAAAGCTCAATCTCACTGCTTTCGCGATCACGTTGACTGGTTTTTCTGACAATGATGTGTTGTCCGAACGTTGCAGCGAGCGTCATTTTTCTCAATTGCCTTTTGCACACACACACACACACTGTGTTTTTTTTTTGGAGAACACAGATCGAAAAGGTGCTTGTGCACCATTAAAAGCCATCATCGTCTACTTTTAGCGCAAAACATCTCATCAAAGTTTGTCAAAAAACACACTTCAAACCTAATTGTCAGATTGCTTGTGTAAGGTATTGTGCAAGCGCGCAAAAGAGCGAGAGCGAGAGAGAGAGAGAGAGAGAAGAAGAGGGCTCCCGCTGGCACGTTCCCAATGTCATCTCACTACCGCGCATGCTCACTGCGCTCCTGGCGGTGGCAGTTCGCTCGTGCCCGTGCGTCGCGACGTCAGTCGCTCTTTGCGGATCAAGCGGTCGTAGTTCTTTGCCGCAAGGAGCAGGCATTGAGGGGTGATTGCAGTCCGACGTCGAGGTTCCGGCAGCGACAGCCGCCATGCGGCCCTGGCTCTCTGGATTGCGCGCGTGTGCGCTGGCGCGATCTTCTATGGGGTGCAGGAGTGGAAATCGCCTCATGAGCGTTCAGGGGCCAGCGCGCCCCGTGACCATGAATAAACTCAAGCGCAAGCGCCGGCAGGGGGAGCCCATCGTCATGGTCACGGCCTACGATTACACCTCGGCTCGAATCGCCGCTCTGGGCAGCGTTGATTGCATTCTTGTCGGTGACTCGCTGGGCCAAGTGATCTACGGCATGGATTCAACCGTCCCTGTCACGATGGAGCACATGACCTTGCATACCCAAGCCGTGGTTAACAGCCTACACTCTTTGCCTGCCGATGCAGGCGTGGCGCGGCCTCTTGTTGTTGCTGATCTCCCGTTTGGCAGGTGTGTCCCCGGTGTGCTTGACTCTGCACGTGCCCGGATTTCAACTCCATCCTGAGTGGCCGTCAAGCATGCTCACGGCCCCGCTGCCTGATGCCCTGTAGCTACATGACGGTATCTGACACTCTGGCCAACGCTACCCGGCTGCTCAAGGAAGGCGGCGCCGAGGCTGTGAAGCTGGAAGGTGGCACCCGCGCCCCCAACGTCGTGGCTCAGGTCACGGCCCTTCACGATGCCGGGATTTCCGTAGTGGGGCACCTGGGGCTGACGCCTCAAACCGTAGCTGCTCTTGGGGGCTATGCCGTTCAAGGCAAAACCTCTCGTGGAGCTCTGCGTCTGCTTGAAGAAGCCCTGGCGCTGGAGGCGGCAGGCTGCAGTATGGTTGTGCTGGAGATGATGCCGACTGAGGTCGCAGCCATCATCACTGAGCAACTCTCCATTCCCACCATTGGCATTGGGGCTGGCGCCCATACCTCGGGTCAAGTTCTCGTCTTCCATGACCTTCTTGGCCTCTTTGATAAATTTGTGCCCAAGTTCACCAAGCAGTACGCGCACATTGGCCCAACTATGGCGGATGCCATGACGACATACGCTGCAGAAGTTCGTGCGGGCCAATTCCCCGTGAGTGGGCAGCACGACTTTACCATGGCTGCAGATGAACATGAGGCCTTTGCACAACAAGCTGCCGCGCTCGCCACGGCCCGAACCGCCCGGAATGGTCCCGTTGGGGTGCAGCAACGTCGTGGCATGGCCACGCAGGTCCCACATTTGCGCGGACCAAGCGTTGGAATCATCGGGGGTGGTGCCATGGCCTCTTTACTGGCTGCGCGTCTATGCAGCGCCAGGCCTAACCTCCGCCTGACCATGGTCACCTCCTGGCAAGAGCACCGTGACTGTCTGGCTTCCAGAGGGCTCAACCTCATCGACCACAGCGGACAGGTAGACGCTCCAAATGCAGCAAATCGTAGTGCGCGGGGAAATTGACCACCAGATTCTTGTGTGCAGCATGGGATTCTTTCAATCGGCACCCGCACTTGTCTAGAGCTTGCAGCAAGGGCACGGCAGGCCAGTCGAGGGCGAGCAAGGGCATGTTGGCTCGGTCTGCCACGGCGCGTGTGCAGCTGACAACCACTTGTGGTATCGCTTTTCCAGAAGAGGCAAAGCACATTGAGAGACCCCTCTCATTCATGTGGCCCGGTATCGATCTGCAATTTTTGTTAGGGCCGGGACGTCCAGCTAGACCCTCACGCCTTTTGCGTCATTCCTGGAGCGGATGAACAAACGTACGCGCTGCTCGCACGTGCTGGCGGGTTGTCTGCTACGGCCTCATCAGGGTTCTCCGTCATTGGTGGTGACAAAGGGTGCGGGCACATGGCAATTGTGATCTGGTCTTTGTGATGGTAAAGAGCAACTCAACCGATGGTGCTGCTCAAGTGGCGCGTCAGGTACGGCCCGCGTGATTTGATGCTCTTTGTGCCGTCATATGCCTGACCTGGGAATGTCAACCATCAGCTCTTACGCCAGGATGGCTCGAGTCTGCTCGTGACCTTGCAAAATGGGCTGGGCAACGCGGAGCGTCTACAGGCCCGGCTGCCCATGGCGACTGTGGTTGCTGGCATCACCATGGCTGGGGCCATGATAGCCGAGCCAGGAACGGTGGTGCATACTGGGATGGGGCCAACCCTGCTAGCTGAAACGCCACAGATGAGCGCACGGGCTCGGGATCTGGCCTTGCTGGAGCACCTACTCTCCGATGCCGGTTTCAATGTCGAAGTCGTGCGAGACGAGCGCGCCATCGAGGCAGTCACTTGGACCAAGCTTCTCATGAATGCGGCCATCAACCCAGTGACGGCCTGGCTCAATCTACGCAATGGGGAAGCTTTGTCGCGACCCGATGCCCTTAAGGCCATGGACGGTACGTGGCGCCTCGTACCTTCTTGGCTAGAGCTGCTGCAAGGTTACAGAATGATCCGCAGTGCGATCTGGCATGGGATCAGAGAAGTTGTGCTAACCAGATGCATGTCCCATGCGATTTAGAGCTTTTAGCTGAAGGGCTGCAAATAGCCCAACGCAAACAAGTCTTGTTGAGCGTGGATGATCCACAAGCCACAATGCGCGAAATTCTGCAGCGGACTGCTCCCAACGTGTCCAGCATGCTGGCCGACGTTCAGCGGGGCGTGGAGACTGAGGTAGATTTTATCAATGGTAAGCGTATGCCTCGCGCCATCCCCCCCTTGCTAGAGCATGCATTCAAGGGTGTGCGCCTGCATTCTTCCATTGGAGTCTCACAAGGGCTCGTCTACTAGGTGCTCTGGTGGCCGAGGCTCAATTGCTGGGCATGGAAGCGCCAGCCAATGCGGCCGCCGTAGCGTGCGTGCATGGCTTGCATCCATGCGTCGCAAACAACAAGAATATAGCAGCAAATGCTTCCAGTAGACCCATCATCTTGACAACCAAGGCCGAGGTCCATGCGCGCACAGCCGCTGCCCGAGTCGGATTTGTCCCTACCATGGGTGCTCTGCACGAGGGGCACCTGGACTTGGTGCGGGCAGCACGGCGCGACCGAGACCAAGGACGCATCGATGCCATTGGCGTGTCGATTTTTGTCAACCCGGCCCAGTTTGCGGCAAATGAAGACTTGGACCGCTACCCACAAAGCCTTGATGCGGACGTTGAGTTGCTGGCCGCCGAGGGTGTCGACTTTGTATTTGCTCCGTCAGCTCGGGAAATGTATCCCCACGGCTTACCCCTCAACACCAAGTTGCACATTTCTGATGCCACCACCAAGCCCGAGGGAGCCTCGCGCCCTCACTTTTTTGACGGTGTAGCGTTGGTGTGCAATAAGCTCTTCAACATTGTGCAGCCCACAATCGTATACTTTGGGGAGAAAGACGCCCAGCAATGTGCCACCATCCAGGGCATGGTTGAGGATTTGGACATTGGTTACCGCGGCCAATTCCTCGAGGTTTGCACCGTCCCTACTCGGCGCGAGGCCGACGGGCTGGCCATGAGCAGCCGAAATCGCAATCTGACCACCAAGGCACGGCAGCAAGCAGTTGTCATTCCTCAGGCGCTCACGGCGGGGCTCACCCGTCTAACAGCCGCGCATCGGGGAGAGTTGCCTCCCATCACCGTTGCTGAACTTGAGGCTACCATCTTGCAGTCTTTGGCCCACGAGCCAGCTTTAACAGTTCATTACGTGGCTGTTACCGACGCACGGCTACGCCCATTTCCCCCGACTGCCATTTTGGACACCAATGTGGCGTACTCAGATCCCATTATCATATCGTGTGCGGGCACGATAGGCAATGTTCGTCTGATTGACAATATGCGTTTCACGGGTGGCCATCCCGGGGCGTAAGCAAGAACGGTTCGTAGGCTCGGCTGTTACTTCAAGTTGATTAGTCTTTCACGGTCTGTGCAATTCAGTCTCATTTCAACACATGTCTCATAAGCAAGCATTTCCTCCAAGGAAGATGGGCGCGGCGGCGGCAACGACCGACGCGCTGGGCCCTCATCTGAGCCGACAGGTCAAGGGTCAAGCCAGGGGCAGAAACCAAATGACAACCAAGGTCAAACCCGCTGCTCAGCAGATTTGGCATGACGCCTCATCTTTACTAACAGTCATCGCTTAAATCAGCCAATTTGCGTTGCATCTAAGGCAAGAGAAAAGAGGGAAAGAGAGCGAGAGAGCGAGAGCGAGTCATACGTGGGTGAGCAAGGCAAGTCAAAAACAACAATAACAATCCCCATGATCAATAAAAAAAAGCCAGAGCCGCCTGGTCAACCACAGGATGGCATGTGACGGGCACCAACCTCCTGCCAGTGTTCAAGATCATCTTGTGACGCGGGGACGTTGCGCCATTGTCGGCTACAAGTGGTGTGGGATGATGCAAGTATACACATGAGCTGGGCCTTTTGAATGCTGGAGAGGGCTAAAAGATGTGTTCGAGAACTCACCAGGCAGAGCCCAGCTCGCCCATCGCGCGAACCATGCCCTAGAACAAACGGATGAGGAAGGGGAAAAGGAGGGTTAAGGTGCCCAACAATCGGATTCATGCTTGGCTGAGAAGGGACCCAGGCTGACAAGCAAACACACACACACACACACACACACACACACACACACACACACACACACACACACACACACACACACACACACACACACACACACACACACATACACACACACACACACACACACACACACACACACACACACAAAATTGGTATGCTGTTGCTGCGCACCTTTGTCGTCTCTTCACCGCACCAAGCAACGGTCAGAGCCGAGGTTTGCGAGGCGTGGGTGGGAAATGGCGCAGCGGTTGCCAAGCTCGTTTGGCACACAGTGGAGATAAATTGTCGGCTGAGCTGCTGGGCACCGAGATAGCGTTGCAACAGCTCTTCTGCTGTTCGTGCCCTGAGACAATATGCCATGACAAATCAACGCCCCGAGAGCAGATGAGGCATGGATTAAGCTTGAAACGGCACACACGTGTCGAGTAAGACTGTTCTTTGACTAACGTGTCTAGCTTGGTAATGTTGGCTTGTGCCTGCAGTTCTGCAGGTGTGGGTTGCAGGGACAGCAGGTTCGCGCCACGCAGGGCAGTGGAAGAGAAGGCGCGTTCAGAGGGCAGCGTGTCAGTATTCGGGGTCTGAAGGTTCAGATTGGGCAGCGTCAGGATATCATCTAGAGCGTTGAAAGTGCGACTGAGCGGCTCGGGCCCGAGTGGTTCGGCCATGGCCACTGCAGCCAGCTTATGCTCTTGGGCCAAGCCCGAGGCAAGGTGGGATAGATTGACCGCACTCCCGTTCAAGCTAATGCGATCGTGATCAGTGCGCGTGAGTGGCTTTTTGCTGCATCGAATTGCGCGACAAAGACCATACGCACCGACACGGTTGAAAGAGGCCATCCATGGTGATGGCCAGCTGTGCGCTGGCCTCAAACACAGCCCTTGCAGGGGTCAGGCTCCAGCGCACATCTACAAAACCAGTTGAGGTACATGTGCAAGGGGAAGGTAAATATTTGAATTAGGAGAGCAATCACCTCCATCCCCTCAACACTGCATTGAGCTTCGCCTTACCAAATTGGCGGAGCAAACTGCGGCAGGGCGAGAGCGGCAAGAGGACATGGCTGAGTTCTCGGAATTCAACCTGTCGAGAAAAGCAAAAAAAACGGAAGGCGGGGCACGTGAAATGCGAGTTCGAGTGATGTGGGGCGACAGGGTACGTTGAATCTATGTTGGGGAGTGCTGTCATACCAGAGCAGCCAAAGTGGCAGCTCGGCGGGTGGCACGACGTTGTAGGGCGACATGACGAGCGGCAACTTGGGCTTCGGGGAGAGTAGCAACATCCACTGGCAGTTCCAGCTCGGCATCTCCCAGTTGAGGGGGCAGACAGGCCAGCGTAGTGACCACCTTTTGCGAATACTCATCTTGCAGGTATTCAAGGACACCTGGCGAAAAAGAGCTCACGTCAGGCAGGCGCGCATGGTGATGAAAAGTGGATGGGGCGCTGGGCAGAGACGCACCTGCTGTCAGCCCACTGAAGCCGTTGCCGCAGTCGGCCAAGACTTGAAACCCTTGTGCAGAGTCGCATTCTTCGAGAAACCATCGGATGTTATCTTCAAAGGCATCGGCATAAGCATGATCCCGCCACAGATGGCTGCCCTCATAAAAATCATCAAAGGGGGTCGATGGATCGGCGTCGTAGACTTCGCGGAGTTCATGCGCTGAGCGAGGGTGAAAGAAGCAGCGGCTGTAGTTGCTCCAAAGCGCAGCCTCCTTGTCAGAGAGGGCGGCAGCCTCGCTGCCGTTCATGGTAGTTTGAAGGCTTGTGTGAAACTGGCTGCTCGGAGGCAAGCTTTGTTGAACCGTCTGCACAGCACCCTGCAAAGCCAGCACCATCATGTGAGCAAGGCTCCTTGTATTGAGCACGACTGAAGAGCAAGGCTACGCTGAGACTTACATTCTGCCACGAGGTCACTGCTTGGCTTGTTGGTGCATAGAGGGCACCAGTCTAGCGGTTGACAGCGGGCGGTGAATGGCCAGCAACTCGGGCAGAGCGCGAACCGACGACAAAGAAATATGGAAGCAGCTTTGCACTTACGCGACCCAGAGAGCCAAAGGCATTCCGTGCGTCAAAGATGAGGGTTCGGGGTGTGAAAGTGGCTTCCCCAGCATCATTCAAGCCTTCGCGGAAGAGAATGTCGGGGTTGAGCTCGTCGAGGGCCTGACGCCTCTTCTCAGGGTCAGGGTTGGCATAGAGTGCCTCTTGCAGATTCCAGAAATGTGTCCCCACATGGTTGGCAAATTGGCCGAGCTGCAGGGTCAAAATCTCACGTGGCATGGCGGCGAATTGGATGGCCGATCCAAATCAATTCCGCCAAAAAAAAAAAAAAAAAGAGAGAGAGAGAGAGAGAGAGAGAGCGAGAGCGCGAGAGAAGAATCGCGAAATTATCAGCATATCAACGCTACTAAAAGAAATTTGTTCGTACACACGTAACTGGTTGAGTGAAGAGAGAAAGAGAAAGAGAAAGAGAAAGAGAAAGAGAGAGAGAGAGCGAGAGAGAGAGAGAGAGAGAGAGAGCTTTTTGACGAGTCACCTCAGTTGTCAGGTTCGGTCGGATGCTGCCTGCCTGTCTGCCTGCCAGTCTGCCTGCCTGCCTGTCTGCGGGGTCTTGGCATCAGCAAGCAGTGGTCGCTACTGGGCGTGGCATTGTAGTGGCCGAGTAGTCAGGATGGGGTGGTGAAGGTCCTTGCTTGTTGGTGGTGGTTGGTTTGCCTTACCTGGCACAGCGTTTCGGCTCACTGTACAGCTTGTTGGATGCAGACATCTGACCAACTCAGGGTGGATCTGCCCGTGCGACAGCTGGACTTGTCTCCGTCTCGGGTTCTGCTTCCTTTCTGCTCCTTCGTGAAGTTGTGTCGTTTCGGCACACTTCAGCCTTCAAGACCACGAACATGTTTGCATCTGCTTCAGGTTCACCCGTGGCTGCCGCCATCGGTATGTTCCCCACCTTTGTTTTGTCCCACTGACCCAGTGACGTTGACAACATGGGACATGCGGGCGGGACTCAAAAGAGTGCAAGTCTGCTGGATATCGCTATGCTCATACCCTGTATTCGGTTGGCAATGTACACTACGAATGATACACTACGGTAGAGCGAGCGGTGTCAGACCAGGGCTCAATTGATGACCTGGTCCTGCACCTCGAGATTTGTGACCAGATCAATGAAACGTCAGCGGCTGCCGAGGATGCTGCCAAGACCCTCAGAAAGAAGTTGGCATCGGGTAAACTTAGCCAGGCCCAAATTCTCAAAGCCCTTGTTGTCCTTGAGACAGCCGTCAAGAATTGCCACAAACGATTCCACCTTCAGGTTCGGACCAACATCACTTGACATGTTACCGCCTTGAAGTCCGAATTGCCGTGTGTGCTCGTTTTGCCGTGCGCTCGTATTGCCGTACCATATGCACCAAGGGCCAGGTCACCACCGTCTTGGCCGTGTGTCTGATAGGTCACCAGCAAGGACTTTGTCAATGTTTTGATGAAAACCTACCACGCTCGGGTCAGTTGAGTTGCCAAACAGGACCGTCGTTTGCTACCTGCCTTGACTTGAGTTGAATGACTTGACTGTGAGTTGAATGACTCTATTTGATGTCATTCCAACACGCGCACCCTTGCATCTAGGGCCAAGCCACCGTGGTCAAGGATAAGATTCTCGAGTTGATTGCCAGTTGGGCGCGGGCATTTCGCAGCGATCCCATGATGTCTGCCGTGGTCAATACCCACCAAGAACTGCTGATTCAAGGTAAGAAGGGTACAGACTGCCGGAGCCACAGACGTGCGGTGCCCTTGCTTTGCAATAACAATCCTAACACATTCTACTCTTGCTTCCAGGCGTCGAGTTTCCTGAAGAGAACCCGGACGAAATGGCCCCGATTGTCACCCCTGGTGTCTCAGTGGCTGCGTCAGAATTGTCCAACTCTCACGCCCAGTCTCAGCAATATTCATCCTCCCTGCCGGGCACAGCAAACTCTTTAACTTCAGATCACGACATCATGGGCGACGAAGAGTTGGCGCGTCAATTGGTCCGTCAAAACTTTTGACTCGCAGGCTGTCAGCTTTGTGCGCGTTCTTGGGTCGGGATTCTCATTTTTTCCATAGGGGTTTCGTTTCCACCCGTTTATTTTGAGCGAATCACCGCAATCCACTCAAAATGCCCAACTGCTTGGCCCGCTGTGCCACGCATTTCCTCATCTCTTAATTATAGGCGGCCCAGTTTGAGCGCGAGGCCGGTGTGAGCCAGAGCACATCTAGTCCCCCCACGGGTCCCGAGTACATGATGCAGCGGCAGCCCGTCCAAGTGACCCCTGGGCAACGCATCTTTGCTTCTCCAGAACAAATAAGCAAACTTCGCGGTTGGTGTATCTGTACTCATCTGGCTGGGTATCTGTACTCATCTGGCTGGGACTCCATTCTTTCCCAACCCCTCAACTCATGTGTCACGGGCGGCTGGTTCATTCTGTCCTTTTGCTCAGAGGATCTTCAAGTGGTTGGCAACAACGCGGAGATGTTAACAGAGATGCTTCAAGCCCTGGGCGAGCACGACCGCGTTGCTGGCTCGGACGTCATTGCCGACCTCCACCAAGCGTGTAAAGAGATGCAACAACGCCTCATGTTGTTGACTGAGCAAGTCGGCAATGAAGATCTTCTCAGGTGAAATTATCCTATGGTTACGCGTAAAACTGGGTGGGCAGCGAGGATGGCCACCTTTATTTTTCAAATCTTTATCAAGACGATGGTAAATGCTGTTTTTTTTCGTCCGATTGAGATTCACTTGTGGCCATGCTCTTGTACTTGGATATGAATAGTGAAGTTTTGACGGCAGCTGATAAGATCAGCACCGCCCTCACATTCTATGATGAATGCGTGCAGCGTGAAGCTCGGCTTGCTGCTCAGGCGCAGCCCGCTGCAGGTGGGGCATGGCTGCAGCATTTGAGAGCCATCAGACAACAGTCGCCAATCCTTGAGGCAGTCACCTGCTCATGTGCCCCCCCCCTCCTTTTTTTTCTGCGCTTCCCCTTCGCATAGCTTCATCAGCTGGCGCTGGCCTTTCTTCATCTGGATATGATATGGGGGGTTAGAGCGTGTGATGCAGAGCTTGCTTCTGGCGTGAACTGTCTTTATGTATAGGGCCAAACCCACTCTGATTGCGTTTATTGATTTTGCGTCTATGTTTGTCCTTTTGTTTTTTTGTAGATGCCGAACCTAGGGCGGCACCGTTGCTCAACCTTATGGATGCACCCGTGGGCGATTCGAGTACTGATTATGCGGATGATCCGTTTGACCCCTCACCAGGTGGTGCGGGAATGGCAGCAAACTCAGAGTCCGGAGGGCGTGCAGGCCCACCCACACGAGCCCCGCCTCAGCCAACTGCAGCCTCCGGGCCACCCACCAGGGCCCCTCCTGTGGTGGCGCATTCGTATCGTATTTCAGAGTCGGTATGTGGCTATTGTCCGAGGGATCGAATCAGACTCTTTTTTCAAAACATTCTCATCTCTGGTCATGGTTGGCAGTCCTACATGGATGAGCCTGCACAGATGGAAGAGTCCTCCAGCTTGTTCACGTCTGGATCGGCAGCTGCACCCGTGGAGACAGACCTTCTTATTGATTTGGTTTGTCCGGAAAACAAAACAAAAACAAAAACTGAAAACGCCTCTGCCACCTGCGCGTTTGTCTGTGTACTCACGGCCATACACGACCTGCGATTTCAGGGTGCGCCTGCCAGCTCGCCGGCTCGATCAACACACACGCCGGCTTCCCAACCTTCTGCGTCACGCCAAGCTCAGGTCTGTTGGTCTGTCTACTTTGAAGAGGCGTCTGTTTTTTCAAGCATGAATTTGCAACATTAAACAAACGCAAACGAAAAGGGTTTCTAATATTTTGGCTGTTGGGCTTGGTTTTAGCTTGAATCTGCCAACGACGATTTTTTTGGCCTATAACGCCTGTGCCATCCAATTTATATTCGGATGCATCCATCCATTGGTGCGCCTCAGTTGTCCGATCGGCACTCCTGGAGCGTAGCCTGGAGCTGGACTGTAAAGTCGCGGAGCAGGTGAAAGGGAGTCTGCATTGAAGGGATCAACAGGTGCAGGTAAATCCAGGCACCAAGGTGAGAGGTGTGCAAGCGTTTCCACACGGCAGGAAGAATAAGAAACGCGACAATCGTAAAAAAGCGTGATAACAGAAGGACAGTGACAATCATTGAAAAAATGCCAGGCAGGTTCACACGGCTCCGCCGTACCTGCTGATGAAAGTCAAAGGTCAGACGGCGACGTCCACCCAGGATCCAGTTCGTGGCAACCAGCTGCACAGCAGAGATATGCATCGAGGGAGCAAAATGAGATAACATACACGCACGCACACACATACACCCACACCAGTGCCTTCCGGGGCATCAAGGGCAGACACGTCAGCTCGTGCCGGCGCGGTAGAGCAGTCACACGGACCTCAATGAACTGGCTGTTGCGCGCGCTGGAGATGGGTTGGCCGTCTTGCGACCATGCCTTGAGACAGCAGCATGGCAGGCAGCCGAAGCAGGGCGGCGGCGAGGAGCGCACGATCAGATCGGTCGACGTGCCCACGTCAACGTTCAGACGCAAAAAGTAGACATCCTTCAGTTCCAAAGGCCAAAAGTGGCGCACGTCTATCAGGCACGTTGGCAAGGTTCCGTGTGAGCACTGTTACTGTCCAGAAATCAGGAAAAGATGCCTGGTGGTTGTGTGGCCTCGCCAGTGTGACCAACCTTGAACAGATGAACGAATGGCATAGGAGTGTGGGGATTTGCCTTCACCCACGGCAATGACCCTGCGAAGATCGATTGCCAAGGGTGAGTTGCGTGACCAATGCCAGTGACACTGTAGGAACACTGACCGGCCGGTTTGATGAACTCACGTGTTTTGCTCCACGAGCGAGCAGGAGAGGAACAGCAGACGCTTGTTGGTCAGCAGCACCTTTCCGGGTGGCAGGCTTTGGGCTGGCTCCTCGGGGCGCTCTGGGTTGACAATGCGAACTTCTTCATAATCGAGAAAGTATTCCGTGGTGGGTTTCTCCCCCTCGTAAAATAGGCCGGCGAGGAACTGATTGTGGTTGATTTGTTGCAGCAAGGTGTGGTGGCTGCTCTTGGCACTGGCTCGAGCGCTTTCACTGGCTGACAGAATCTAGGTAAAAAGACGACCATGCATGGTGTGAGAGACTGTTGACACGTTGGCAATGAAAGACCACCCGTCCTTTCAATCGACATGCAAAGAGCTGGGGCCGAAATGCCTTACCGCAGCACTGGCGGCACGGTGGCTCTTGTGGGTGCGGGGGAGCGCATCAAAAGTCTCGCGGGATTCTATGCACCGAATGAGCAGGCAAATGATGTGGTTAGGGCTGTGGCAGTAGGGTTGGAATGGCAGCGGGCATCGGCGCTCAAAAACATACCCAGGGTGGTGAAATCATTGCCTGTGAAGGGCATGCGAGAGGAGGTGACGGCCATGGGCTGACAATTCTAGGGGATGGGTCAAGCGTTCTCGTGTCAGCCAAGTTTGGTGCGACTGGGATCAGATCGCACCACCAAGCGTTGTGCATGCATCAAAAGCACGAGGGTACTGACGATCGCGCTGTCGCTGCTCGACAGGAGAGATTTTTGATCGTTATGTTGAGCCTAGTTGATACAGGCATTGAGATTTGATGAGAGGACTCGATGGCGCGCGAACTTGCCACATCCATACGAGCTTGCGACGCACCATGTTTTGCGGTGCACACGAAAGGGCTTCACCGGAAGAAAAATGCGCTTCGAGAGTTGATCCCTCTCGCAAACCATCTTGCTTCCTTTCTTATGAGGTGGTGGTGAGCGCATGCCGTCGCGGCGGAGGGACGACAGCTTGCTCCATGGCGGACTGAGACAAGCAACACGATCAATCATGCTGTTGTGGATTTGATCGATCAGTCCGACCTGAAAATCACCGACATTTTGTGCTAGCAAGCACATCTTTCAGACACAACAGAAGTTTGGGGTGTTTGTCATCAAAAATGAGCAAAAATTATGTGGAAAGGGTGACATTGTAAAAAGCAGGTGTTGCCTTTTGCTGTTGGAGGTCAACCGCCAAAGATGGAGATGCTGGCCCTGCTGCTGCCGAGTGATGGCAGCGCTTGGACGATCACGGTCCAGCCCGTGGGAGTGTACGCCCTTGGTTCCACGGCTGTGGCTTGTGTGGGGCTGAAGTATTTGATTGACTGGTACAAACGCTCGCAGCATCGTGATGCGGCTGCCAAGCTCGGTCATCATGCCAAAACATTACGTGAACAGGTCTGCGCGACACTGCAACACCGCCCCGGCAACACCGCCCCTGCTTTTTCGGCTGCAACTGGGCGCCTTGGGCTTGCTTTCTCCCGGATCATCATCAGCCAAGCATGCCACAAGAAGAGCATACTTCTTTTGAAGGCTGCTTGATTTTGATTACAGCTCCCTCAGGGACACGGGGCCCAACCTGTCGCAGCTGATCTTTTGCGTTTCGCACGTGCTCACGCAATCCTCCCCCCCTGCTTCATTCTTGCGTGCGGGTGTCTTGGTGCTGGCAGCGACTTGATGAGCTGGAACTGGATGCGCGCCTGGAAAACATGATCGACTTGAGCACTGTCGCTGCCACTCGTGAAGCTCTTAGCAAGTATGGGCCTGAGGTGGTGTGCCGCCGCGCGCTGCTCAATTGCCTGCGGGACCCTCACAATGCCGGTGAGCGAGGCGTTTGCGCAGCCTCAATCAGACCCAGGGGCGATTTATGATAACATATTGATAATTGTGAGGGCTGACACCCCCTGTCGCTTCGTAGTCTGTGAGATTGTGCCATCCATCGAGGGCAAGGCCAAGGACAGCCGGGGTGACCTGGCAGGCGTGCCCTTTACCGTCAAGGAATGTTTGCACATCGAGGGCCTACACTGCACCTTTGGCGATGCCAAGCGTACCGAGTCCATCATGACCGGCACTTCGCTCGTTGTTCGGGTGCGTTTGGGATCCCACCCTCGGCATTATTGGGACGCGCTTGGTTTTGGATCTGAGTTCCTCGTAGAATCGTTTTGAGGCTGCTGGCTCAAGGTGCTGCGTATCAAACACGATTTTCAAATAGTCCTTGATGCGCGCCGGCGCCATTCCAGTCGTGACCACCAACTTGCCACAAACCATGATGACGTTTGAGTGCAGCAACCCGATTTATGGTTAGGCGGCTCGTACCACCCATTGGGTTTTCTTTGGGCCGCCCAGCAATATATCTCATCGACGTGCCTGCGTGTGTCCCCAAAGGCGAAAGCAACAATCCTCGTGCCCCGGGCCGAACCTGTGGCGGTTCTTCGGGCGGCGAGGCTGTCTTGCATGCCGTCGGTGCCGTCCCCTTTGGTGTTGGTACTGACATTGGCGGTCAGTTTTGTTATCTCTGCACTCGCGGTCGCTGCCATCTGACAGCCCAAACTCCAAAGCCTTCTGGCAATCACTTTGTCTTTGATCATCTCACCAACGCCACTATGGGTCCACGTGGCTGACAGGCTCGCTGCGGATTCCTGCACATTGCTGTGGCACGGTTGGCTTCAAACCTACGCGTTACCGTTTCTCTCGTACGTTGAACGCTGCCAACAGTTTAGCTGCGTCAGCTGTCAGCCCGTCTCAGATTGTGGCAAGAGAGCCTGAGCAGCATGCAGCATGCTCACGTCAAGTGAATCATACACAGGCAACCATGCCTCATCAGCCATCCGTGGTCAAAAGGCAATCACGTCCACGGTGCGAAGACTCCCTCTCAGCGCTTCTTTTCAGCTCCCTACAGGCGCCTCTCCCGTGCTTGCTGTGTTGACAAACCTTTTTGCTGTAGCCGGGCCCCATGGCTCCAACTGTCGAGGGTTGTGTCACCTGCTTTCGCGCCGTCGTCAATGATTGGCCCTGGGCTATTCGTGAAGATCCCAGCCTTCTGCCGCTGTCCTTTGATGAGGTGTGTGACGCGTATTCAACAACGCCATCAGAGTGATCCGCCAGAGTGATCCGCCAGAGCCTCATGTGGGCATGGCATCTCCCCACTCTTTTCCACTGCCTCCTATGCTCGTCGTTTTCAGGCTGCCTACACTAGCACCAACCGTCTGCGCCTCGGCGTTTTGGTAGACAACGACTTTTTCGATGTGACCCCGGCCTGCCGTCGTGCTGTTGACGAGGCCGTGGCAGCTGCTAAAGCGCTTGGTCAGCCGATGAGATCCCACTGACACCTGCATCCACCTGACTGCAGCTCTTGCGTTCTCATGTTGTCTACTTTTGCTCATGTCGCTTCTTCGTGCGCTCGCAAACTGGTCGGCACAACTTGACATACTAGGCCATGAGGTCGTGCCTATGCCCGGGCACCTTGTGAGCAAGATTGCCATTCTTTTCTACGCGCTCGTCTCAGCAGATGGAGGCCATCAAACTCTTGAGTTGCTTCGTCATCAGGTTGGCCTAGGCTTGGGGGGGTGGGGGGGGGAAGAAGGCGCTGTTTTCGTCCCCAGTCTGCTGCGTGCATCTGGCTTGGGAGCAGCTGCTATCCATTCGAGCTCCTTCCCGAGAAGAATCTAATCGCGTTTTCGGTTCAGGATGTGGACTCGCGCATCCAAGCCATTGTTCGCTTGGTGTCTTTACCCCAATGGCTGCATTCATTGGCCAAGTGGCTTCCCACCTCACGTGTTACTTCCATCATGGCGGTGACGGGAAACAAGACGGTATGGTGTCGGCAAGCTAGTTTAATTTGTGCCTGAGCACCTGCACGCGCGCGCGAGCATGTGTGTGTGTGCGTGTGCGTGTCTCATGGCACGCGTCTTGTGGCAGGTATCAGAGGCGTGGCATTTGGCGGCAGATGCAGACGAAGTTCACGCCGAGTTTATGGCGTTGTGGCACAGTCTTAACCTCGATGGTCTCATCACCCCAGCCTCGGTCATGCCCCCTCCGAAACAAGGTTCGTCGCAGCCATTGTGCAAAGATTCGTGCACGGTGTGGCCTATGCTCACTTCCGACTCACCCTGGGCATTTGGGCCATAGGAACCTGCTCAGACTTGACTCCCGGCTGCTGGCCAACCTTCATTTTCAACCTGCTCGACATGCCAGCCGGCATCATTCCGGCAACGCGTGTGACGGTGCGTCGCTGCCCAGTCAACCACACCATCGTTACGCGGCACAGCCATGTCTGCCATGTTTAATTGGGGGCGCTGACATAACTGACCACCGCTCACTACCTGCGTTGTGTCCTGGGACTCCCTTTGTCGCTCTTCCTGGCCTAGGCCGAAGACGATCGCGCTCTTCGTGAGCGCGATATCATTGACCGATTTGATCGCATCGTACGTTTGATTTGAATATCATCAGCACCCCTGTGGTCTACAAGCTTTCACTGCATGCTGCGCTTTCCTTGTTCCCAAATGTAGCTTGTGGACTCGTGTGCCGACAGCGAGGGGAGTCCCGTGGGTGTGCAGGTTGTCACCCCACGCTTTCAAGATGAACTCTGCTTCCGCATCATGGGTGAATTGGAGAGTAAGCTCAAGCCTAATGCATAGACCGGCTTGATCGTTTGGGCTGTCATTTGTCGTTTGAATATCAGTTTGATTGATGCTGCACCATGGAGCTGTTGCATCAGTCAGCCTACGGATTGAGGGGGTTTCTCCCCATAAATGGCGCACCAAGAACCGCCCACTTTTGTTCGCAATCTGAAAGTACAACTTTATATCCGGATGTGTTATCATTTCTTAAGTCGGGGTGGTGTACGCGTTTCGAAATCGCATGGCTTTACGTCGCTTTTTTGGGGGTCGAGGTCGCGTGCTTCGAAAAGCAGTCGCTGTTGACTACATGGGTGCATTATCCTTGGCCGCCTTGCGGCGGAACGGCGGCGTATTGCAGTTGACCGAGTCGCTCAAGACCTGTTGGGGAGTCTGCGAGAAGGTGATGGCGGCGGTTCAATCTTGGAGTTAGATGTCGCAGGTGGGCATGCATCCGAGAAGAATTGTGGCACGTCTCGATGCTCCTTGTCCAAAGCTGCCAGGATCGACCAAATGGAAATAAACATACCTTGGACCATTCTTGCGTCACCCGGTAGGGTGTGCCGTCCAGCTGATATTTTTGCCTGTCAGTAGATCAAGTTATGGAGCAAAATGAGCACTTGCTGCCAAGCAAGCGTTCTCAAGCGAGATGGGTTGGATGACAGACTTGAGGAACTCGCGGTCGCTGGCTGACGCAAACAGATTGAGCGAAGCGCTCAGGAGAGTAGCGTGCACTTGGTGGGACAGCGAGGCGAAAAACTGCTCGTAAACAAAAACCACGTTGCGCTGCATTTCATCCACTTGTTCTGGGGTCAACCGCCGCAAGATATCGGGGACCTGCATGTACTCGTGAAATATGACATGAGGACGGACATGCGTGCCCCCCGGACGGCTGACCTGCGAGCGACGTGCGTGCAATGGCACGGGCTCTTGCGTACCTCCAAAAGACGGTGTTCAGGCACGCGCACACTAAACTGACTCCAGTCAAGAAGATCCTCATATGGCTGTGCCAGGTCCAGAGCATGTCATGTCAGTCATATTGGCAGTGGTGCAGTGAAGTGCCCTTATCATCGACGCGTTGCTCCCCACCACCCAGCAATCAACCAACCAGCACGTAGTGGTCCACCACAATTACGGGGATGGCGCCGGCCGCCATAATCTGCGACGCACATGAACCAACGGGCATGGTCAAAATCAACCGCCGCCTCTTCCTTGTCAAGAGTGTAGAGTCAAGCACACCAGTGAGTTTCAATTGAGAGTCGCATCCTGGCGTGTCTTACCTCTGTCAATCGAAAGCTATGGTAGCCAAAGCCCTCCACAATCAGACCAAACTTGGTGTTTAGGGCGAGGTCGGTGTAGGTATACTTGTTGAACACCGCTTCGGCTTGGCGGCAGTGTTCATCCTTCTGCTCCAGAGGCACCGGGTTTGGCATGAGGGTTGTCCGTGTCGGTGCCAAGCTGCGAGCCCAGACGTACCGTGTTCTCGTCAAACCAGCGACACGCGCACGGGACCAGCACGTCATGGTCGTTGTGAATCTTGGGCAAGTGGTTACGCATGGCATCGGATCGCGGTGATTTGGTGCCTCTACAAAGGAGTTGTCATAACGGACATGAGCTGGTTTTCTGGACGTTGCAGTTCACAGGCTTGTCAAAACGAACCGAAACGTCAAAAGGTAGTTTCGCTGAGCAGCCGGGACGCGCCGTTGCTCAACGGTAAAGTCCACCATGCCAAACAAGGGCATCGAGACATCCAGGCCGGGTCGGTAGTGAAACTCGGATAAACCAGCCTATGTGAGATTGCAGTCCACTTCTTGAGCTCTAGCAATGCAGAGGCGCGTCGTGTGGCATACAACACAATGCAAGTGTGTGGAAGTTAAATGCACCAACCTTGGCAACGATCGCATGTCCAGGGGACCAGGGCAAGCAGGGGGCATCCGAAAACTCGAAGAGAACGTGGTTCCGACCGCCATTCCAGTAAGGCAAGCTGACATGACACCCCCACCCACGTCAATGAGTGCGCAATGTCAAAGACTCAGAGTGTCTTTTGATTGGGACAGACAGCAGGGCATACGCTTCAAGAGCTTGTTCAATCCGAAGCGAATTGGGGTGTTTATCTTCAATCTTGTTCTCGTAGGCTGCATACATGCAACCTGAAGACAGAGGACAGTCAGGGCGTCAGGGCGATGACGGAGGTGTCTTGGGCACTGTTGAGTCTAGTTGTGTGTGGCACTTCTGCCATTGGACTATTGGTAAGCCAGGCCAGAGGATGCGCACAGACTTACTTTCACACCAGCAGGATACATCTACCGCCGGTACAAAAAGGCACGCTTCATCTGGGTTACTGGTATAATAGCGACTCGCCTTGATAGCTTTGCTGCACACCGTCAAAGTGAAATCCATCCATGGCAATCATCACGTACACGAGGCACGCGTGGTGGGTCATCAGAGGGCTTTTACATTTAGGGCCAGCAAGAGCAGAAGCCGCCTCTCGCAGGAGGAGAGGCGGCTTTGCGCGCGCACAGACCTACCGTACGGCCTCATACACATTGGACATGTGCTCTTGCTGCTCCTGACTGGCTGGGTACACGTACACCTAGGTGTCGGAAGGTCATGTCAACGGCAATGGGCAGAGCCACAGAGACCGAAAAACATGGAAAAGGCAAATGCCTACACTCACCTTAAATTCTTCGCAGCGGCGGTTAGGATCGATGGAAGCGGCAGCGGCGGTTCGAAGATTGGGCGTGCCGTCAGACTCGCGGTAGTGGAGTGGCAGAGCTGGACAGTGCGTGCTAATACATGCAAAAGCCACATACACACACAAGCGCGCACACCCAAGAATCATGCCAAAGTCGGGAGCCAAACTACGAGGGCAGGAGACGGTTATTGGCTTGAATCGGATGATGGTATGGCGTGACACACCGGTATTCTTGAACTTCGTAGATTTGCTGCTCGAGGCGGTGCCATGTCATGTTGGGGTGGTTCTTAATCTGTTCTTTGAGCACCTATCAAGCGTTTGAGTGTCCAACTCGGTCGCTGAGAAAACACGCAGGCTATACAACGGAGAGCAAGCGAAAAGGAATAACTTGGCTTGCTGTTGCCCTGTCTCCTCTGCTGATGATTTCCCTCCCGCCGTGATCTTGCATTTGAGCGTACGTGCAGTTTGGGCATGAGACCATACTCCTTGATAAAGTTTCTGGCGAAGCGGAATGGAAGCCACAAGTGAGTGAACGCTGCCCGGCCCTTTAACAAGCACCGGAGTGACAATCACCGTTGGCCAACACAAAGACACGCGCCCAGCAAGGGCGCCCTACCGCTCCGAGTCCATTGTGGGGTTGGGGTTGTGGTCCTCACAACGTGCATTAACGGCGCTCTCTCGTTCTTGGAGTTTCTGGTGTCAGCAAGCCAAGTGAAGGTGGATGAGTGAGAAGTGTTGGTCCCGGTATCTGCACAGGAGAGAGGGCAAACCTTCTGCTTTTCCAAGGCAGCTTTTGCTTCGAACATCTCCTGCTTTTCGCCATCGGATAAATGTCCCGTTTGCTGCAGAAGCTCCAGCAGGGGTGTCTTATCCCAGCCGTTGGCATGGATGATGCACGGCTGCGTTTGAGTAGCCGAATTGTAGATGCGATTACCTTGAGCCACCACCTCGGCTCGGGCTCGGCCTGAGGTTTGCAGTCAGGACCAGAGGCGGCATCAACGTGCGCGTGTGGCGGCGTTGCCGTTTCTTACGCATTCCTATTCCGCTCCCCACTCAAAGACCGCTTCCCGTTTCTCAAACGACAACACGCCAGCAGACGAGAAGACTGACCAAACAAGGTCTGAAAGATGACCGCTTGATGATCAATACGTAGCGCATTATTGTCCAGCGCCACGGCCTGTCCAGAAATGAGCGTGGTCCGAAGCAAATGGATGAGGGCGGGGTATGTGCTGCATGAGTGAGGTGGAAAGGGCTTGGCAAGCAAGCGTGCATATTGATCTCACCTTGATCAGTTCGCCCTGATCATCACAGCAGTTGGACTTGTGCTGGATGGATAGAACTTCACTGTACAGGTGTAGGATGTACCCCAGGTAGCCTGAGAAGAGTCATGGACCACACATGACAGACGCGTAAATCAGATGATTCGGTCATGTTCAGCTCGCAGCGGGATGCACCTCCCACGACTTGTGACCATTCATAGCCCGGTCGTACCGATGTAGCCGCCACTATTGAGATATGGGTAATGGCCAGTGGTGCTGCTGGACGGCATCTCCTTGGCCAGGTACGGATATGGCCAAATATTGACCTGGATAACAGAGTTGTGAGATCCATGCTCCACTTAAGTACGAGCATCTCGGCAAAGCCCCCCCTACAAAGGGGAGGAGCAGAAAGAAGAGTACCTCGGCGCTCACGACCATGGGATGCCCAAACTCGCGAAACTTGGTCACAATCTCGTCCATTTGTGCAAAGATGTAGCTAGAAGAAGATGCAAAGCCAAGATGATGAAACAAAAGAAGAAGCTCGCGCCGGCGGAATGATGGGCAAAAGCTTGGGCAAATTGACTCCACATCAGAGTTGGATGATGTGGGCCTGTCCGCACTCCTGACCTATCGAAGCTGTCCGTGAACAAGACAATGTCGTAGTCATCCTGCTTCTCGAGTAAGGTTTGACGCATTCGCTTGAGCTTCCAGCCATAGCCTGCAGAAGGATGGCGGATAGCAGCAAGAGTTGTGGCCCCTCAGAAGACACCGCACCAATTCCCTTGGGCCCGAGCATACACGTATGTTTCCCCAAAATTCTCGCCAGGTGTGCACCGGCCACCCACCCTGAAAAAATTCACCAGCTCCGGCCACGTAGAGATCGTAGCCAATCTCTCGGACACTCTTTTCGGTGAGATCAATAAAAGGCTCTCGATGCGTAGCCACCTGATTTCATGGCGGCACGTACAGGTAGATGGTGAGTCAAAACAAATCATATGTCGTCTTGCTGCAGTCGCAGCCAAGAAGTCAGGTCGCCCTCCTATACAATGCGGCAACCTACCGTCATGACCAGAACACGGGGCTTGGCCCGTCCATCATCCCAATAGTCTGGGCTTTGCTTGCTCGCTCCATCAGTGCGGTCGCCTACACCTTGCAAGCATTAGAGGCAAAAACGGAATGCTATGCAAAGGCCCATCCTAGAGGTAGATGGCACCCACAGCCAGAGGTTTATTTGGCGTACCGGGCCAGGTGCGGCGATACTCGATTGGGTCGTAGATGCTCTTGAACGATTGGGTAGCAGCTGAGCCTTGACCAAAGTTGGTGTCTGAAAACCCCGGCCCATGGGCTGGCTGAAATTGACCAGGTAGCCGCGCAGGCCGAGCATCACGGCTGCCTCTGGTCGGAATCATCGGACGCTCCGGTGGAGCAGTGGGCTGTGTACCTGGCCGAGCAATACATTGGCACGCCTAAGTTGTCGACGTTCGGTCAAGATGTGAGAGTGGCATTGACCAGGGCGAGGAGTTTAAGCAGCGCAGCGCCCGTAGGCTGACTTTGCGTGACCAGGAGACACGGGCTACAAGGGGCGCTGGCCGCGACGTATGTGCCTCTGAAAGAGAACCAAGCAATATTGGATTGTACCTACCTCACAGCTGACATGAAAGCCCTCGACCAGAACGCCTGGTTGGTTTTTGTGGGCGCCGCGGGCACAATGCGAGCCTGTACAGGTGGGGCGTGCCGTGGGACACTATGCACGCGCAACCCCAAGTGAACAGCGTAGGTTTGGCGAGGTGAAGGGCGAGTAGGGGGAGAGAGACATAGCCATCGAGTGCGCAAGGCCGGCAGAGCAAACACACCATGCAGTGGGAGGCCCCGCTTGGGACGGCGCCGGCTGCGGTACAAATGTCAGTATTGCCATCCACGGGAAGGCCCAGCGCCACCCTTGAGACCAACAGGCAGGTCAGAAGAAGCAGGCTGGTCGGCCGCAGGAGTTGGAATTCGAGCCGCGGCTCTTGTCCACGGGCCGCTTTGCTTGCCATTGTCTTGGCAGGTCCTGCTGCTGATCGATTGCCACGACTCATCAGCTGGATAGAGTTCAAAAACTTCCCCTTGCTTGTCTTGCCTACAGCCTGGCGCAGCGTGGCGAGCCAATGGCAGTGCAGCCACAAAACCCTTGGTCGATGGCTGTGCGCTGCCGCAATGCCGGTACGCCCTGTGAGTTCCAGCAAGAAAACGAATGGCCGCTCGCCCTGACGTGCATCGTCGCCAACTGCCAGCCTGCACTCTATTCTGGCATTGTGCATGCATGCAAAGCTCGATGTCCGCTGGCCAACTACCTCGCATAACCATGACTCTCGTTCGAGGGCAATCACGATTTTGGGTTTTGACGATTTCTT